TTGGAGCACTTGCTCTTTGTCAGGCGCTTGCTGGTTGCTGGCCCAGCAGGAGTAACAGAGACAGATATGGACCCTCGCAGAACTTACAGTCCAGCACTTGAAAGTCTTGGCAAACAATTCCTGTTGAATACTTCCAGTAACAGGATGCTCACTACCTTGGGACAGCCTATTTTCGGGGTTAGTTTTTCTTTGTTTAAACGGAATCCTGCCTCTATATCTTGCTTGTTCTGACCTCCGGAGCTATATAAAACACATCTAACCCCATCTCCTCTGCCACCACCCTTGAGACGTGGGAAAATAAACAGGCTATGTTCAGAAAATAGTCTCACTCTCCAGTTCCCACTCATGAAAGGGAAGCTGATCCTCTGTGAAATGAAATTCCTCTAGGTCCTGAGGTCGGAGCCAGGGTGGGCTATAATCTGGGTTCTTGGGCCCTGTTCCTGTCCTGCCCGGGGCTGAGGGAAGCTGTGTTGGGGAGACTCGTGAAGGGACACAAGGCGAAGGTTTGCAGGTGGCCAGGGAGGTGGGCCCGAGTGGAGCGAGGGGGTCCGCCAGTCTGGAGTGGGGTGTATGTGAGGCATGCCTGGCTGTCTGCTCAGGACAAGCTCAAGCTCCAGGTTTCTGGTCTGATTCACAGCTTCCTCTCTCCCCAAAGGAATCCCCTTTATAGCTCTCGAGGCCTGACCCCAGCGTCCCTGTGAACATCGTCTGACAGCTGCATGGAGTGCAGCCGGGCTCCTGTGCCGGGTGCCAGCTGGACGTGCTTGGCGGCCAGGGCCTGGGAGCCACCTCTCGGGATGTCAGCGGAGAGCTGCAGCCGCCCTTCCGTCAGCAGGAAGCCCAGCCACAAACACTTGGACAGGAAGCCCCGGCGCTGGCCAGCTGAGCCAGATCTGGTTTCTCCTGCGTCTGAGGCTTTGGCCCGGGCTGGAGGAAGGCGAGCCAGGTGCTGTGGCTACACTGACAGGGCCGGCGGTTGGGCTCCCCCTTTGCCTGGGGATGTGGGATCCAGGGTGTGAGCGGAAAAGCATCATCAAGCTGGGCCAGAAGAGGTGCTTCCTGGAGGAAGGTCGAGGGAGCAGGGAACACAGCGTCTAGCAGAGCGGGGCCAGCTGGCTGAGATGCGCAGAGACTCCTTTGTGATGGTTCCAGACACAATGTGTCCTTGGGCCCAGACCTCCGGCACAGACCCAGACCAACCTCCAGGTGCCTGCACCTCCGGGAAAGCACCGCACAGTCTCTCTGGGCGAGACATCCACACATTCCCAGCTTGACGAATGACTTCTCTCAGGGGAGGACTCTTTTGTAACCCACCAAGCTGCATCGTGAGGGAATTAATAAAAAAATAGAGTGAGCTCAGCTGGAGACAAAGGCAATTTTGCATCCAGGGCTGACATTTTTGCTTCTAAGTGCTCTGTGTGATTATCCCCAAGGCAGACCATGTGTGCACACAGCCGCCCGGAGGACCCCCAGGATTTAGAGCACTTGCATTTTGCACAAGTCACCCAGGTAGCCTGAGAGCCCAGTAAGAGATGGCTGGCATCCGGGGATGGAGAGGTAAGTAGATTGGCTCAAGGTCACGTAGCTCAGCAGTGGCAGAACCAGGGCCACTGCCATGAGTTCTGCTGCTCCGGAAAGAGAACTTCGATGGTTACCTTCCAAATGCCTGAGCAGCCTTCACCTGTGCCTTCAGGGGACCTGCTCTGGGTTGGGGTCTGCTGAGAATATCCCATTGCTCTGTCAAAATCCATGTTGAAAACCTCCTCCTGGATGAACCCGCCTGTGGCTTTCTCGGCATCCCACAGCTTTTTATTTGTGCCGTTTTAATAATCTAGATTTTCTCATAGTCTGTGGGCTCTATGGTTCTGACTCAAGACCACGGATCAGCCACTTTCTCTGTAAAGGGCTAGATAGTGAACATTTAAGCTTTGTGGTCCATTTGGTCTCTGTTGTGACTGCTCAACTTTGCCGTTGCAGTGCACAATCAGCCATAGACAACATGTACACAAATAGGTGTGGCTGTGTCCCAATAAAACTTTATTCACACGCAGGCAGTGGGTTAGATTAGGCCCGTGGCTGTGGTTTGCTGACCTCTGCTTACCACTCCTTGAAGACAAAGACTTATTTGTTCCCATACAACCACAAGCGCTCTCCCCACACCCAGCACCCAGGGTGCATTGACCATAATTATACTTTGTGCTTAAGAAGAGTTCAGTGTTAATTTAATGAGTGAATCTATGAACGAATGAGTGAGTTTGCAAATGAAAATATTATAGAACGGTTAGGCTTTGATTTTGATGCTCGTCTGGAAGCAATAATCTATGGCTGAGTATAATCTGATGGAGGGGGATTTGTAGGCCTGGGTTAAACACCAATTCTGCTGCGTTCTAGATGTGAAGATTTGGGCACATAACTTCTCTTTCTCAGCTTGCCCATATGAGATATAGGGTCCTACTACCTCAGAGAGTTGTTGTGGGATAAAGAGAGAATGTATGGAAGGCCTGGGCCCAGGGCTGGGCACAGAGTAAGTGCTGAACTGATGGAGGCATTGCTGCTGGAAGGAAGTAGTGCTCAGGGTCAGGGTCTAGAGTGGGCCTCAGCATCCTTCTGCCCTCTGACACATGGACAGGATATTGTGAGAATAAATGGAAGGCTATCCCTTAGCCTGGAACAAACAGGCTCACGAAATCCAGGCCATTTTGCAGAAGTGTCCGCACGAGGCTCTCCTATAGGCATCCTCTACTCTCCGTCTTGCTGCTCTTCCTTCATCTTCCCAGATCCCAAGTCAGGAACCTGAAGGCCATCTGCAAAGGCTAGCTGACTCCTAACCCCAAACCAGTAACCACCAAAGCAGCCACCACCCCCTAGCCTCCACACCCTGCCTGGTCAGGGTCTCTCACCTGTGCTATTGCACTAGCTGCTTCCAGTGGCTCCCAACTCCATCCGTTTAACCACTTCGCTGTTGGCTTTACGTTTCAAAATACAGACCTGGCACTGTCCTGCTCAGCTTCCAAAGTCTTCAATGGCTCCCCATTCACAGCAGGCCGGCTTCCAGCGCCTTAGCCAGAACTCTTCTCCATTGGTCTGTGATGGTCTTTCCAGCTTCATCCCTCAGCACTCTGCCTGCCATATGTTCTAGCTTCACAGGTAAACCTCACTGTATGCAATCTCCTCTCTTGTGTATTTTTATGCTGTTACCTGCTCCCTCCTTCTCACACCCCATAATTCCCAACCTCTCTAAGATATCACAGATCAGTCATTAAAGAGTAGCCCCTGGTCCCGGAGTTTTTAAACACAGTTTTTAAAGGTATTTCACTCAGTTCCAGTTTGGAACTTAGCTCTGGGAAAATCTGTACTAATGGCATGTTAACAATTTTTTTTTGTTTTCAACTAAAAGGGAACTTATATACCAGAGGCTTTCTGTGTGGAGCTTCCCTGGCATATCAGAAATATCCAGGCAAGGGGCGTATGGATCAACTTTTTATGAGTAGACATGAGGCTTCTAGTCCACGTGAATAATGATGTGGCCAGTACCAATGCCCTTTGATTAAATTGTTCTTTTGGAATTCCTCTTGTGTCCCAGAGCACAGGGCTCCTTCCCGCAGCAGGAGCCTCCAGGGGAACCTGTCACCACGGGAGAATCCAACATGACAGGAAGCTGAGACTTGGCCTCCTGCAACTTCAAAGGCTGCCGCGTTTGGAATGAAGAATGAGGCCTCCAGGAAGGGTGAGAAATCACATGGTGTTCTCCTTTACTTGGGTAATAGTCACTCTCCTTGTCCTTGGACAGGGCGTCAAGTGCAAACACCCAGGGCCAGCCCATTGGTCCTCTCTGTTTGTTCCTCCTTACTCCACCCCCAAGCCAGTCACCTGCTGCCCACTCAGGCTTGTGGAAATCCCCCTGGCCTCTCTTGCTTCCCTGAGAACAGGGAACCAGGACATGGTGTCCCGCTCATTGTTGACGGGACTTTCATCCCCAGCTGTTTGTATATCGGAGTTAAGTAGTGGTGTCCTTTCTGAAGACACAAAGATTTCTTTTTTCTTTTAAGGAGTAATGTGTAAAGACGTAATTCTACTCAGAGCTGAAAACTTGGGTGAATGCAATGAAATATTTTTCTTAAAAGCAAGAAAAAGACATTTGCTTTTGATTAAAATCTGTTATTACTAACCTCTCTGATGTAAAATTCCTGTTCGGTTTAGAAGCAGTGAAGTGTAATGGAGAGAGAATGAAATGAAAAATTTTCCCTCAATCAGGAAGGGAAATGAGCTCATCTCTGTCTTATGAAAGGTACTTCTTGATGCTAACTCACCTCTACCCTAGGGCTGTCAGGAAAAGCATTGCTGGGTTGAATTTGTATAGTGCTTTGAATTGTTAGTAAGAAAATACTGTTAGAAGCATATCTTGGTTTTAGAAACTTGAAATATTGAAACCTCAACTTATTAAACAAACAGATGGATGGATTTTGGCATGGTGAAGTAATCCACCACATTGAAAAGATGAATATCACAATGCATTTAAATATGATTAGATTTACTGAGTTTTAGCTGAACATTTTAAGTAAACTTTCTATGGCATAAAGCAGTTATAGGACTTTTTAATCTTGTATTGATTAGGATTAGGTTTGGTTTTAAACAAGGTAGACGTTTGTTTCTCTCATGTAAAAGTCCAGTGGGTGGTCTGGGGTGACATTGCCTCCCTAATAACAAACACCCAGACTTGTTCATTTATTCATTCATTTAATCAGTCAGTCAGCAAATATTTAGTCAGCACCAACTAGACAGTGACATTACAGAAGTGGAGAAAAAAAATAGACACAATTCCTTGCCATATCATGGTGTTTACATTTTGTTGATTCACTGTACATGGCCTTTACCTCATGGTCTCATATGGCAACATCTCTGCCTTCTAGCAGGATGGAGGAAAGACTGAAGAAGAAAAGGCAAAGAGTACACCTATGTAATCTCTTAAAAAAGGTTATTGGAAGCTGCATGACTCTTTCCCCTACATGCCATGCAATGATTAGTCACATTGTTCCACTTAGCTGCAAGGGAAGCCGGGAAATGTAGTCTTCATTCCATGGTACCACCACATGCCCAGTTAAAGTCTATTATCAAGGAAGAAGGGAAGATGAGTAATGATGAGGGGCGGGGATCTAACGGTATCTTTCACAAATAAATCTTGTAATTGAAAAGATAATGCACTTAATTCATATAAATATTATTATTTAAACAAGCAACCAATGTAAAAATTATTTCAGATTCTTTTGTTTTTGTTACTAAATCTTTGAAACCCAGTGTCTACTTTACACTTATATCACTTACGTTCTCTCACTCATTCACTCACATCTCATCTCTGTTCAGATCAGTCCCATTGCAAGTGCTCAGTAGCCACATTGGGCTGTGTAGCCCTGGAAGCTGGCAACTTGACGTATGGTCCTTGGGCCAGCACCATTGATAACACTGGGAGCTTATTGTAAATGAAGATTCTTAGATCCCACTCCAGACCTATTAAATTATAATCTTCAATTTAATGAAATCTCCAAGTGCTTGGTATGCACATCTAATCTAATAAAAGAGAAACATACAAATTGACTGCCCCTCTGCTACCCCCCAAGCCACACCCACCAGCCAATCAGAGGGACTATATGCAAATTAACCCAACCAAGATGGCGGCTGGAAGCCACGGAGCTGGAGCAAGCAGGAGGCTTGGTTGCCCTGGTGATGGAGGAAGCCAGATCTCCAAGTGCTTGGTATGCACATCTACACTAATAAAAGAGAAACATACAAATTGACTGCCCCTCTGCTACCCCCCAAGCCACACCCACCAGCCAATCAGAGGGACTATATGCAAATTAACCCAACCAAGATGGCGGCTGGAAGCCACGGAGCTGGAGCAAGCAGGAGGCTTGGTTGCCCTGGTGATGGAGGAAGCCAAGCTTCCCGCCTGCCCTGGCTGGCTGTGGCCTCCGTTCAATTATAGAAGTTTCAATTATAGAAGCTAAATAAATCCCAGATACCTGCTTCCAGCCGGCCTCCACTGGGAGCTTGGGTGGTTGGGCGCCGTGGCCAGCCTGCAAATAGCCATCAGCCTCTCACCCAGGCTGGCCACACCCTCATGGGGTGAGGGTCCCTGCTGGGGGGGAGTTGGCCAGCCTGCAAACAGCCACCAGCCCCTCACCCAGACTGGCCAGACACCCCAGCAGGACCCCCCTCCCTGAAGGGGGTGTGGCCAGCCTGAAAATGGCCCTCAGCCCCTCACCCAGGCTGGCCAG